TCATAAAAGACAACATTCAGGGACTTTACATCTATGACAACTTTTGCTCCATTTGTTAAGATTTATCTGCTATAAAAATTTCAAATTTTCTTGATAGATTCGTTCTCTAGAAATCATGACAAGGAGAGAAGATAATCTTAATTAAAATTTAATACTCAATTACAATCATATTTTACCTATTATTGATGATCCAACTGCACCATCTTCACTTTTCAAACAATTTATTTTCCAATTTGGCATATCAAATAAATCTAGAACAGAAAATTTTCTATTTCTTTTCATAAATAGAATAATATCATCTATATTCATAAGATACAAGTTAAAGAAGACGGTCATGTCGTATAATCTGATGTATATATCTCTTGTCTACGCAAAAAAGAGACAGTCGATTAATGTGATGTTTATGTTTAATGGGGTAAATGCATTTATATGTACAAAGATTTGATATATATATATGTTGCTTGTCTGTCTTGTTGCGAATAGAATATAATGACCGAATGATTTTACAAAAATGATGATAATCATGATATAAACACGAAAAAGAAAACACACAACAATTGGATGATCATCTTTTTTTTTGTTTTTCCTTTTCTCATAGTGAAAAAAGAAAGATATTAATTCAAAAATGTTGATTAGAAAAATCTTGATTTTGTAAAAAATTAAAAAAAAATTTCTTTTTTTTTTTTAATCAAACGACATAGAAGCACATAAATCGAAATATTTGTACATTTTGAAGTATATAGACAATGTTTGAATTTCAAGGTAATACATAGACCAACAAAAGTATATAATGACAATAATAGAAAAGGATTGATACTTTGATTTTTCATAGCCATATGATTGAAGTGCGATAAAATGTTTGATAAAGACAGAAAGAGAAAAAGAATGTGACATTATTTATATGAATTATGATATTAAGTCTAAATGATGTCTAATAAATATAGACGACGGGAATCGATCTTTTTTTGTGCTTGATATTTTTTACTACAAACAGAGCTCAGTAAAAACTCTGATCAGAAGTATCAATTTGATATCAATCGATCTTAATGCCGTAAATTAAGAATAAAAGCACTGAATTGCTTTTTTTGCAGAACTCACATATATGTTCGAAGAAAACAATGCCTATAAGTTTTAAGTCGAAGTTTTTACGTATAAATCAATCATTTTAATTCTGCTCTCAATTATAACTACGCATAGAAAAGTAAGAAATTTGGCTGATGAATAACATCGATTGAAATATTCAGATTAAACACAGAGAAGCAAGTAAAGGAAAGAGTGTAGAATTAAGACCACTAATATGTGCATTAATCCCCGCACTAAAATTAAAGAGAGATGGATATAATCTCAAGAACTCGACAACGGCAACATCTAGCGATCTACGGTTTTACATTGAATGACACAAATGAATTACAAAATAATTCAAAAGAAGGGTGTACAGAAACTCTTGTTAACAGTGTTAGATCCTAGTAGATTCTTTAAATAAGTCTTATCTATAATGTATAGAAATTTTGAATTACTTTGTAATTCATTTACGTCGTAAATTCGGTTTCTATATAATTTGATCGAATAGATATGAAATTTTGTTTGTCAAACATTGATATATGGGAAGAGAATCATTGGAACATTATTTTTATGCATTGTTTTTTGGGATGTTTTCGAGAGATGCTGAATTTTAAAATAATTTTGTCTTATGAAAAGATGTCCGACGTTCTCCTCTTTGAATGACTGGAAACTCTATGTAGCTAACTGTTATCATTATCGAGTTATTAAGCTTATAACCATCTCTCTTTAATTCTGGCGTGGATATTAGTAATAGTGAGATAATATTTTTCTCTTATCGTAGTTGATGCTTTCGTGTCTCTATGTAACTTGTTTCAATTTGTGAGAAATATCGTTATAATCTATTTCATTACATTAAACAAAAATTTATACTAAATTATCTGCTAGTTTATATGGAATATATGAATTCCACATGTCAACTTCAGAGCATCTGTGGTGACAAACTTTTTCCTTGAACTTTAAAAAGAGCTTTTTGGATATTTTTCTGGTGTGCCATTATTTTAAAGTGTTTATATACATTTTTTTTTATTCAAATGTACAAAGAAATCTTACTGCTCATCTGTAAGTGTAAGAGAAATTCGATATCTGTCGAATCCTATAGTTTTATGTACTTATTTCAATCTGTAAAATGAATCCTTAAAGCACACAAAATTATAGAACTCAAAAAACATCGAATTTCTCTTACCGATCATATACTACGTCTTTTAATAGTATCACCTAGTATATGTGATGTATATATGAGGCCTAACTGACCATACACAAAGAAGAAATTAAAAAATTTCTGTGTTTCCTTACTTTCGGGCCACATTGTATAAATTTTCAATAAAGACTTCGGCCAAGTAACATGAATAAAAATAAATAGTTGAAGAATAGGATAATGAAGAATATTTCTATTATTATTACAACAGCTTTATCCAATGCCACAGTTTTCTGCTAAAATTTGTTTTTCCGTGAGCAGTGCTTGAAATTGTTACCATAGATGGGTCGGTCATATTGTCGAAATATTATTGATCAGACAACATATGTCACTGAAGAGAGAGTTTTTTTTTTATATTTGAAGTAAATGTCTATCTTGCTCAATGAGAAATAAATTGATTTCTTGGTTTCTAATGATTTATAGTATAGAAATCAGTGTGTTTTCTCTCGATCTTTCTCTGGAATGAGAAACATAAAAAGAGAATACGAGAAAAAAACCGGCAACTATCTAGCAATATGATTGTAGGTTTTTTTTCTTCGTATTGTATTACTGAAGAGAAAAAAGAAAAGATGAATACGAGTAGTTGTAAACATATATGAATAAGGATATTTTAATCAACTGCTTTTCATCAGAAAACAAGGAGAAAAAGGTTTTTGACATATATTAATGACATTATGAGAAATGGATATTTTATTTATTACAATTTTCTGTCGTTTTTTTACTAAGAAAAATGTAAACACATTGTTAGTTTACTTCCAATGAAATAAAAGTTGATTGAAATCTAGTAGTTTTCTACCATGCTTCATATGATGTCCTCATAATGACAGTTGCTATATGTGTATTATATTGGTAAAATGCTTCGTAATCTTTGAAAAACAGGATTTTTTTCATTACAATATATAGCACATCCATCTGTAAACAGACTGATGAAACGATGACTTATTTTCGTACGTTAATCGGATGAGCGATATATGATTTTCACCTGCTCAGGTCGATCATTCCGACCGTCGCTTTCCATCATGTTTTGACTGTTTTCCGTCAGTTCGGATTACGAGCCGTTTTTTCTCGAAACGTAAACGACATCGTTTAAGGTCGTCTCCGACGAGTAACGATGAGTAGTATCAGGGTCACATTCTCATCGTATAGTATCTTATTTATATCGGTTTTTTTTTCTCGTTTATGGCTCTATTTATGTACTGCTCCAGGACGAGTATTATGACAGTTGCTAATTGTCGTATACAACATCATTTGTCACCATATTCACATAAGTGTCTCCTTAATGAAGACGAACACGATTTTCTTCTCTTCTCCTCCCCTTCCGTAAACAAGAATCAAAATTTGTTTATTTAAATAAAATACTTACTCTTGAGCATTTGATTGAGATAAGTTTAAATAAAATGCTTACTATTGCACTAGATGGTGGAAGAAATCTGAATAAAAAAAAAATATTATTAATTTTTTAATAGGTAGTGATCAAACGATTATAGACCATGAGAAAGTGTCTAATGATGGTTTTAAGATACTTATGTTAAAACGATGAAAAATAGTGTGAAACGGCGATCGTAACGCGAATTGTTTCAGCTAGTACGTAAACGATCATCGTAACGACAGTCGTTTACGATTGTTTACGAGTCGTGTTGTACAATATGGGTGATAAATATTGAGGTACTTTTATCTGAACTAAAGGGGTGTTGAAAATTAGCTATTCATGTTGGGTTTTTCATCAAAATATAATTTTCTTAGTGCCTTTCTAAAAAAGTATCATTTCTACTGATTAATGATTTGATGTTTTTTCTTTATCGTTTCTGTTCAAAACTGATGTTATATTTCATTTCATTTATGGAAAATGGCCTGCAATTTGAATAGTCATGAAAAAAAAAGATGAAGTGAGCTTGCTATGAGAATTTTTCAATTCCAATTGAATTGTTATATTGAACATTCATCGACGATACCATCATGTCAGATTCAGTATTATCTTATCTCGTACCTGAACACTAGTGAATAGATCAATTATTTACAATATCTAGACAGACAGTATCTAATGAGCAATCGAAGTCTTCTGATCGAATCGGACATGCATTACACAATTACCATGATTACCGCAAACTAATAAATAGTACACATTGCTTGGCGACATAGTTATAGAAGACATATATGAGTGGGATTGACAAATGTTTATGTGTCATTGGTGAACATGCAAGTATCGTGCTCAATAGAAAAGACTGATATGAATAGTGCAGCACAAAATCTTTATATTTTTAGAGAATTTTACTTCCATGCGACATGATATTGTTACCAGAATTTTTTCCGCGCCGATACTTGTTAAAATAGTCTCAATGTTTGAATCAACTGTAAATACTTGATATTAAGTGCTTTTTGATTAGAATGAACAGATTTCACCTGAATCGAAACATTCCATAAGGATGTATTTTGTATCATTCTAGTATAAATATCGAGATCAAATATATTCTGAGAACACAAATCGACACTACTGTCGTTCATTAGTGCAAATAGTTCATTGCGAGTAGTTTAAGTTAACTCCTACTACATTGATATTTTATTTCAATAATATCCAACATACATGGTTGATCAATGAATACGAACACATGAAAGAGATGCCAGAAAATGAAGAAACAAATAATGTTGATTATTCAATATTTCTTTCTTTCTTTTTTTAAATTCATCATAAAAAAAAAAAGAAAACGAGTTGAATAGAGTGAAGCGTATGTGTATATACAGATATTTAGCATCGCTGATAAACACGCACCCAATCGACTTCCATTCGACGAGGAAAAATATTGCAATCGATACCTTGTGCACCACCCCTGAAAAAAAAATGAATATATTTCGAAATCTGTCTCTTCTTCGCTAAATTTGAGAAGTTGCCGACAGTTCCTTTTTTATTCAACATCATATGATCTAATGAACGATGGATCATTCTCTGGTAAGGTCATCATCCAGACATTTGATACTTTCTCTCACTATCATCTCTAGAACGATTGTATTTTATTTTTAACAATTAAAAGCGAACAATCTGTTTAACAAATGAATCATATTCGATTTGATCATGATGAGATCAATTGCAAGTAGTATTCCCCAATGATTCTTCGCTTTTTATAAATCGAGAAGAAATGAACTTTCTTTTTTTTTGGGTATATCTGTGTATTAATTATATGATATTAATCATGGAAGAGTATTCGAAATTTTGAGATATTACCAAAAATAAAATTCAGATTTTTAAAAACTTTTCATGTCAGTTTTGATATACTCACCAAGTACCACCCACAGCAATATTGATAATAAGAAAGAATTGTTTATCAAATGGCCTAAAAATAGTACAAATTTTTTTGAAATTTTATCTGTTTCGAATATTTCCATGGTGGAAATTAATATCTTACCATTGTGTCCAATTGCCTTGTTTATTCCAAACTAAGATACGATTAGCGAATGGATTTTTATCATCTCCAACGAACATTTCAATTTTATTCACATTCCAATCAAGTGTATAAATTTTAAAATTTGAAACAGCATCATTGACAGTTATGGCATTAGTTGGTTGATTGCCTTTTATATGATTATATGCTTGTGTGTGTACAGTTGAGTGAATACTTAATGGATCATAACCAACTTGTTCCATCAAATCGATTTCACCATTATCTGGCCAATAGGTATTACCATATGTTTGCTTTTTCGGCAACTATCTTGTGTTTTATATAGATTAAAAAAAAGAAATTCAATAAGTAGTTACCATCCAAAGAGCTGACCATAGACCACGACCATCAGGTAATTTGGCACGAATTTGCAAACGGCCATATCTCCATTTACGCTTGCTCTTGAGACGAGCCGAAGTAAACTGATAATTTGCCATGTTTTCCTGAAAAAAAAGTATATATGTGCAAGACAGATTCAATACAAGTTCTTGCTCTACTCTTACCCGACGTGCCTCAACAATGAGACGACCATTAGTACTGCCTGGAAATCGTTCACAACGTGCATTTTTCAATCGATTATTTGTGTAATATTGTTGCTCATTGTTGCCTAAATTAGTGACGTATATACATGATACAAAAGATACAAATTGAACAAAAAAAATATATTTACCCCAGCCATTTCCACCGACATCAAAGTCCCATTTACGAGGATCGACTCTACCGTTCCAATTGAAGTTATCTTCCCATACGCGAACCCATTTAGTATTGTCCTCTGCTAAAACAAGATACATGTAAATCAATGATATTTCTATATATCTGAATATTTTTCTTATTTTTTTTTTCTTTGTCTTATCGGTATTAATTTATTTCCACATGCGACAACGGCAGATTAAATGCTTGAGTCAGCATTATGAAAGTAGATAAGAAAAGAAATAGATTTGAATTCGGTTTTTTTATATCCCCCACACTACACACGTCGAATATACTCTTTGAATGAAGAATAATATCATAATTTCTTACTTGAGAAAAATATTATCTTTCTCTTTCTTTCAGTGGCAGTATTATGAGTCTAGGGGAGATAGAATGGCTTGTTGCTGTCTCAACACTTTCTTTTTAGCAATTCAGTGTATTATCAATAATAACAGATGTCATTTATTGTATGAATCAACAATAGCAGTTACGAAATATTTTATATTCATGGATTAACTCATGAGCTTCTAAGAACTGAGAGCGATCATTTCAAGTTCTTGATAGTATCAAGATATTGCAAATGCAAAATAACAAAACAAAGAAATGTTTATTCAAATAATAGTTTTGTGAAATATCATCATTGTCTGGAACACATCGATACTATCTCGTAGTATCAAATCGTTCATGTTGATGCAATTTAAAATTGTGAGAAAAAGAAAAAAATGACTACTTTTCATTTTATTCATCATCAAAATAGTATCTCCTACCTCCTACTACACCACAGACCATAGTTGAATCATTGGTTGAGAATGCATCACTTTTGGAAACCGTACCCGATTTCATCCAACAAGTACCACCGTTATACTGAGTCCATGTAAAGTGAGTGCATCGTTGAGTTTGAGCACA